ATCACTCCAGTGTTGTGTTGTTGTTGATGCTGTTGTTGTTGATGTTGTTGGTGTTGTTGTTGATGTTGTTAGTGTTGTTGTTGTCGATGTTGTTGTTGATACTGTTGTTGTCGACGTTGTTTTTGAAGTTGTTGTTGTTGTTGATACTGGTGTTGTTGTCAATGTTGTTGAAGTTGTTGTTCATGTTGTTGTTCATGTTGTTGTTGACGATAAGGTTGTTGTTGATATTGTAGTAGTTGCTGATGTTGTTATTGTTGATAATGCTGTTGTTGTTGTTGTTGATGAAATTTTTGTTTTACTAATGACCGTTTATTTTGTAATTGTTTTTGTGGCAGTGCAATAAACACTCTCCATGTAGTGTCATTAGTGATACGTTAATTTCTTTCGTACAAATGATAGAAATCATTTGGAAGCTGTAGTTGTTGATGTAGTAGCAGCACTAATTGTTGTGGCATGGGTAGTAGCAGTAGTTATTGTGGCGTGAGTTGTAGCATTAATTGCTGTTGCATTGCTAAGAAAATGAATTCATCATAACAGTGTGCATGTGCATGTTAAATCTTCATTGAGAGCATTGCAATAAAAAGCTGCAGCAGATATTTCAATTACACACACAGCGTATGCGAAAATCAGCGTCTCTCACTCACTGCACATGTTAAGCAGGGATCCCTTCGTACTCGAAGTCAGTCACAAAAAGTCGGATCCAGCAGGCATCTGTTACCATTTTCCTCTTTCATCGTCCTACACTGTCAGTTATTTGAATATTTACGTCAGATATATATATATATATATATATATATATATATATATATATATAAATCACTGCCAAATTTAGCAACAATGACAATATGAATAATAAATAGAACTCTCGATGAAATCATATGTCAATCAACTTTGAAGACAATATTTTTTTCAACAACACAGACTAAGAGCTATGAGACGATATCTGACGGCTGAATCAGCAAAGGCTCTAGTCTTCAGCTTTGTCTGCAATAGGATTGACTTCTGCAGTGAGACGTGATGATGCGTGGGATCAACCTGCCGCTGCAAGATGATATTCAATCCGTTTTGAGAGCAGCTGCCAGACTGGTTGTCTCAAAGTTTGATCCAATATTTCAGTACATCAGAGATGAGCCTTGTAGTTTCAAAAATTCAAATCTTCACATTTTGAGAAAAGAAGAGTTTCTGTATCAGCTGCCAAAACTTGGAACGCATTGCTTGCTGATCTGAAGAAATTTAACACCATAAGTCGAAGTGACTTCAAAGAGCATCGAATAATCATTTATTCAACCTACCACAGCAAAGAAAGTGAAGAGAGCGCGTCTGAAGTCAACTGATGAGAGGCGCTGAACAAGTTCTGCAATATGAATACAAGAGCCTTCCGTTTTGTTTATCTGCAAATTGCTATTAAAAATTCTTTTAACTTGACTCATTGATTCTACGGATAAATAAATGAATGAATGAATGAATGAATGAATAAATGAATGAATGAATGAATGAATGAATGAATGAATGAATGAATGAATGAATGAATGAATGAATGAGTCGTATTTTAATTTAGTTTGGTGTATAATTTATGATAAGATTGAAATTGAACATACACAGTTTACAGATCGAAGGCAAGTTGATCTAATTTTAGTTTACAAACTGCTTGTAATGAAGTTTAGTGGTAATGATCCTATCTTTTCATTTAATAACGATGCCAGAACCAAAGATCATAAAATGGAATTAACAGCTGTTTGTTCTCGTAAGAATGTCAGGAAATTTTTGTCAGCAATTCTGCAGCATGGTGGTTTGCCGCAGATTGGAAAGAACTCCTTCACTTCGTTGCGGACTTGCTAAACATTTTTTTAATTTAATTTATTTATATAGATAGAAAACAAAGTTTCTAACTACCTTTTTTTTCATTTGCAGTGATATTTAACATTTGTATTTACGACAGTCTCAACTCTGATTTCATAAAAATGAAAAATAGTGGCTAAAATGTTTGTTTTCTATATAAATAGGTTAAAAAACGATTAAAAATTATTGAAAAATAGAACCAGAAACTGATTAAAGCTGAAAATGAAGTGATATTTCTTAACACCTGTATCCACGACAGTCTTAACTCTGATTATATATTGTATTAATGTACCTACTGTACCTAAATAGGTGAATACGCAAAAGACGGCCGAGGAACACTTTAAAAGTTGAGGTGGTTTGATGTAGTTCACCTCAATTGAATGAAATACTTCTTTTAAATTTTATTTTGGTATGCTACTTGTTTGACAATGTTGTAGCATTTTACTTTTCCGTGTTAATTTTTTTAATGTTTTATATCAGCAAGGAGCATAGGCCCGTGCTTTGTTTCAAATGGATAAAAATGATGAATATGTGATGACGTGATTGTGATGTGGCATGATGATGAGGTGCTGAGAAGGATGATGATTCTCGTATTGTCTGCATGACAATGTTCTTGAAATGATGATAATGAAATGGTGTTGATGTTAGTAATGATGTTGATATCGTTGTACGACAATGAGATACGCTAAAGTATCAACAACACATTATATGAGTAACGATGTCCACTCAATCTCCATTCGATCCAGGTTGCGAGTGCCTGCTATTTGAAAACAACAACAACATGAACACAATCAGCACCGGCAGCATCGATCCCAACAACGACAACGACGATGACGACAACGGCAGCAACAACAACGACAACTTGTTCACGTCAATATTGTATCCATTAAGTTACCCTGTAGGAATCGCCTGCATATTGTACACTTTTGTTGGTGAGCAGCATGAGCTCATTGAGATATCATTCGTCTATTTCAATCTGAGGAAACCTGTTAATGGGAAGTAAGTTGTTGTTGTTGTTGTTTGTTTATGTTTGATCGTTGTTGTGTTTTTTTTGTTCCTGTTTTTGTTGTTGTTTTTGTTGTTGTTGTTGTTGTTTAACCTTGAAGTGAATCATGTTTCGTGGTTTGTTCTTCTCAAGTTTACGTAGGTTTCAGTTGTTTCTGCTAGTTGTGAGAAACTTTCAATGTTATTAATATTATTATATGAGAATTTTCTATTGTTAAGGGTGCAGTTTTTATTGTTGTTGCTGTTAAAAAGACAATCTTTTTTCGATCCAATTTTGATATTGTTGTTGATTTTGTTTTGCTTTTGTTACACATGCTTCAAGGTCGCTCTGATGTTTGTAGTGCATCAATTGTTGTTGTTGTGGTTGTTAATGTTGTTGAGGATGTTATTGTTCATATTGCTGTTAATGTTGTTGTTTTTGTTGTTGCTGTTTGTTTCTGTTGTTGTTGTTGTTTTTTGCTTTAGTTTCAGGTTGTTGTGGTTGCAGTTGTTATTTTATTATTCAATCCTTGTTAATGACGTCATTTCAACGGCCCATTCATCCTTAATTAGACTCACCAGGGTTGAATTAACGAAATAACAAAAATATTGCGAAAAATAAATGGAACCGATGAACAGTAATAAAAAAATTAAAATAACAAAATAATTGAAAACTTGAAAAGGTGCGTGGATTACGTGCGTCTGCACTTAGACCTGGAAAGGCCCGAAATAATTGAGGGTGGTGGTGCCGTCGTGGTAGAGTTGTGTGGCAGCCAGGAAGAGGCAATCTCTGCCGGGGCAGCCACTTACTACTCCTCCAAACGCACCATGGTCCTCGAGTTTCATTCTGATCCGAGAGATGACGAAAGTGAAGTTGGAGAGATGAAACGAAATAACAACGGAACTCTCACAAGTCAAACTTTTAACTTGTTATTTTTATTTAAAATTGAAATGTTGTTTAAAAAAATTAAAAAATTTATTGTTAATAATACTAATAACTCATTGTTACTAAATCAATTTAATTTTCTAACCAGGTCCGAAATATTTGACGGCTGGTGAGGCTCATGTTGGTGGTTCTCCCCGAGAAACTTCAACGCATCGTCATCATCTGCTACAACAACACGAACAGTGGAGCTTGCCTAATGATGATCATCAACAACAGCACAACCAACAACGAAAACAGCAGCAACAGCAAAAACAGCAGCAGCAACAACAACAGCACTTATCAAAACAACCACAAAGACAACAAACAGATCAACGACATCAACAGCCACAGCCAAAACTGCAACAACGAAAATTAAAACCACGCAAACAACAACAAAACGGAAATAGTTTTGTTCAAACAAGTACACCTCCTTATCAACAAAACAACAACCAACAACAAAATTTCAGCAAAACAAAAATTTTAAAAAAGAAAATCAGTGCTGGAAATCTGAGAAAAGCTCGAAATAATGATGAGGAGGAGGACGAAGACGATGATGAAGAAGGTGCTAATGATGACGATGAAGAGGATGATGATGAAGAAGATGAAGATGATGATGATGAAGAAGCTGATGTTGAAAAAGAAAATGATGAGAAGATCCAACTTCAGAAAGGAAGTAAACATGACAACATTCATAGCTACGATACAAACAACAAACAACTTAACCGAAATAACTCCATTGTCGGAAACAAAAATAACAGCAACAGCAACAAAACTGAAACAAATGGTCATCAAAGAGATGGGATGTTGCAAGGCTCCAACGGCTGCTTTGGCTTCCTCGCCAAATATAGATTCATTGACAAAAGTCTGTCGGTCAAATTTACAATATATTACAAATGGTTCTAGGACAAATACCCCCGGACATTTACTTTCCGAAAAATTACCCCCGGACAAAAACTCTCCGGACAAATACCCCCCGAGCTCGGGGGGTTTTTGTCCGGAGGGTAAAGGTCTGGGGGGTATTTGTCCTGTTATCATTACAAATATACAGTATTGTATGAATTCTACCGAATGGTTGGCATTAATCAAATTAAAGTTTGTTTTTTCAATTTTCCTTACTAGAATTTTCTGGAAATTGTTCAGTTTCTTAAAACAGAATTATTATCTAAGTTTAACATGGAAACGTAATAAAACTGTTATCCAAATTCATCGTGCAGATGAGCCTTATTTCGATTTTTCACAAATCATCTTTGATGCAGGTTTGTGTTGTATAGTTTTTTTAAACAAAGCAAAGTTAATTAGTTGGTGTCGTATTTTTCATCTTTGTTGTTGTAATTTCTTTGTTCTTTATTGTTATTTAAGATAGTATTAAGGCGTCGAGTTGGTAATGATGTTATCATTCTTTCTTGAATGTTTTTTGGGGTTTATTGTTATCTATAATGACAGCTTCTGCAATTTTTAGATGTATTGTGTTGGTGTTTTGATTAATTATTTTGAGTTGTCAAGAATTTAGCGGCTTATTGGAGTTGCATGTGTTGATTGCAAGTGAGATTTGATGGATCCTCTTTGTGTATGCATTGTGAGACGTCTTCATAGTGAATATGTCATAACACCAATATACGAATGTTGTTGACGCGCACAGTCGTCAATAGGGCATTTGAATTCTTATATTACATGATTACGCTTCAAAGTAAAATCGTTTTTAGGAGTGCAGTTGTTCTTTAAGACCAATTGTGATGTCCTACAATTATTGTAGTATATCCTGAGTTTTATTTTATTTGTATCATTGATTGGTGTAACATTTCTTTTTATGATTTGTTTGATAACAACAATGATGAAGAATACGACACCAACTAAGTAACTCACTTTGCTAAAAGTCTAATTTTGCTTTATTTAAGGAAACTATATAAACCAAACCTGCTCTAAAGATGATTTGTGAAAAATCAAAACAAAGTTTATCTGCATGATGAATTCGGATAACAACAGTTTTATTAAATTTTCATGATAAACTTAGATAATAATTCTATTATTTACAAATTCAACTATTTCCAGAAAATGCTAGTAAGGAAAATTGAAAAGACAAACTTTAAAACGATTATTGCCAGCAATTCTGTATAACTCATACTGTATAAAATATGGTCTTCTTCCAACAGTAATATATATATATGTATATGTGTGTGTTTATGTGTGTGCGTGTCTGTGTGGGTGGGTGTGTGATAGTGGATGTGTGTGCATGTGTGCTGGTGAGAATGGTTTGCTTTTCTGTGCTTTACTGGCAGTCAGTAAATCTTCGCATGTGTACATACAAAACAGCATTTGATGCCGTGGTCTATCAAGCCAATTATGTTTGTGTGCAACGTGCAACATGCTTCACAAATCGATCGAGCAAATATCACGCAAATATTACAAAATTATTTTAAATATTGCAAAACTTCACAATTCAGGATGACAGCAACGAATTTTTGACGACTCGTTCATGCAAGCAACAGCACTAACACATTTTTGTATTTATAAGCTGATTGATTTAATAATGTTACAAGTTGAAAATTTCAAACGTTTCAAAACGATGTTGTCACTTCTTGGCACGCAAAGGTTTTTAAATTTTTTATGCCGACTTTCCGCCGTACATCAAAACGTTTACTGTCCAGTTCTCGGTAGAACTTTCATGCTGCACTGTGAAATGTGCAAGTAAAAATTTCGAAGTTGGCCATGTAAAAATGAATAAATTAAACTGGCATTTGGAGAGAATGTGCAGCACCGTGTATAACAAGATTGTTCGCGTAGCATGCACTCACGACGAGATTCATTGAGACCGCACTCGTCATCATTAATTATGTGCTTGTTAGTGCTTATAATTGTAATAAAATTGAATATCACTGTTGAGACACAAATTCATTTGTGTAGTAATGCATGCAACATGCTGAAATATGAATAATATTTATTTATATTTTTAACACACATTTTATTAAGCACTCATTCGGTGATATTTTGTGGCGGCCGGGTGGCACTGTGAGCGTTATTTGTGGTAAAAGTTAGTGAAAGTCGTTATTTTAACGGGAAAAGCAGAGTAGTGTCTTTGAAGGGAGAATTGACATTATAAGCCCATTAGCGAAAAGTTGTCTCTCCTGTCTAAATGTTGGGCCCGCGAGTACAAACAGCTATTCGAAACAAATTTGTGAAAATCCCCGCCTTCCCCGGTCATCAATTTTTTGTTGAAAATTCTCGTGCGGTCATCGACTTTTTTTGGAAATTCCCCCTTCCCAGGTTGCCGACATTTCTGAAAGTTTTTCCACCCCCCGTTATCGAATTTTTAATAGAAATTCCCCTGGTCGCCAACTTGTGATATTTATATGTATCATAAAAATGGGTCGCTCCACACAACTCATGTGTTCCATCGCATCACCGTACAGAGGAATTTGAATGGACGGGCGCCATCAGACGTTACGGCAGTGAGTGCGATGCAGACTTCCACAGCAATCGAAATTTAAAGAAGGGACAATTTTTCAGTCCTCTCTATCCGCGGAGCTACCGCCAAGGAGTCTCGTGTAGATACTTATTCAGGGGGGCACCAGGCGAGGTTGTTCGTGTGTCTCTGTGGAAACTAGAGCTAGCTTACGAGTACGTATTTATTCATTTAATTAAATTTTTTGTCGCTTTTTCAGTTGTTTTTAAAATTTTGTTTGCGCTCGTCCACATATTTTCGATGCTTGTGTTTATTTGTGTTCGGTCGTGCCTGCGTCTCTTCGTTTGAGGTTTACGCTCCTTGATGGGGTGGGTGTTTGTTTGCAATAATGTTGTTAGACGATTGTGCTTCTCATTATTTCAAAAAGATTTTTTACGAAAGTTTTCATCATTTCAAAAATTTCGTATCTCTTCATTTCTGTTCATCAACATGTTGGCAAACTTTTTATTCGTCTCCCAATTAAATACAAAGTAGTTTCAGTTCATTCTATATAATTTGTATTTCAAAACAGAGCACGTTAGAAGATAATTTATCTTCTTGCGACAAGAAAGTAAGAAGAGTTCAGAAACAACCTGCAATTTATTAATTTGCACGATGACGGCTTAGCATACTTTCAACCAGAGATCACAGCAAATGCATTACGATCATTTTTATAGAAAGCGAAAAATAGTTTCATACAACATCCCTCCATTTGCATGCATCCCTATTTTATTGGCTTCGTCATAACACTCGCATTTCTGCACGACAACCAGACGGAGCACGCATCCCACTTTGACGTGCGTTGTCGCTGGTTATGAGAACATGTCTGTGCAACTAAATGCCTCATATGTGTGTGTGTTCAGTATGTGGGTTCAGTGTGAGTATGTGTATTCAGTGTGTTGTGTGTTTATGTGTGCGTGTGTTCGTTCACTTGTTTGTGCGTGTGGTCATGTGGGTTTGCAACATTTGCAGCCAACATTTGTTTATTCTCTCCCAAAAAACAATGATGAATGTTGTTGCTGTTGGTTGCTTCTTTAAAAGAACAATATGCCTTACTTCCTTTTTAGTTTAATGTTCTGCGTTTCATAACTTAATGTGATTTACAAATTCTTTTTTTGAAATTTGTCATTTGTTTGTCAAGCTAATCTAATAATTCAAATTTTTTTATATCGTAAAAATTTGCTAAAAATATCCGACGCGATTTATAAAATAATAAAATACGTAGGCGTTGAAGCAAAGCAAAAATATATTTTGTGGTATTTTTCATTTGTACTTCCATTTTTATTTTGAAGACACAAACAAACGTGGGGGAACTCAAAGATCCCCTGGAGTGCTGAACGTCAGCCTTTATCTCAAGGCTGCGGATTTGTTGATGCTTTTCATGGCTCACATTTACATTTCTACTCATTCAACTTTTAAAATTTGTAATTTACTTTTTTTAGTTTGTTGGGAGGAAATGTTTGAGCATTTATGTTACATAGTCTTTATATTTGTTTCAGTTTTTTTGTTTATTTATTTTTTTTGGTATATACATTTTCTTGTTTGTATGTTGAGTATTTTGTTTTTTGATTTTGTGGTATGTTGAGTTTTTCAGAATGGTTAGTTGTTTTCAGTGTTTTGTATGTTTGATTGTTTGCATGAAGTCCTTCTTCGGCGTGTGTCTTTTGTAACATCATCCGATGTTTATAAGTGTTTTGAAGCATTATAATTGATGGCCGGCCCAACTGCTCACTTGCTACCTCCTACCACCTCCATCTGGCTTCGCTCAAGCACGACAAACATTCTTATTGAGTATGACAAATGCTTTAAGCGGTTTTAATGGTGGTGATGATGCTTGTGACGATGATGATAACGATGTTGGTGACGGTAAAGATAATGATGATGATGATTACAAAGAATAAATGCAAACATCATAGTCCACTATAAAATGGATCTCGCAGAGAAACTAAAAATGATAACAACTACCATCAAAACATCACGTATAAAAATAAATCTGATTAAAACTCTATACATTATAGTTTCATCCAAATAACGCATAATTACTTAGCACCCGCCATAAATATAAACAAGACAGTCAACCTGTCCCAAGCACCAAATCCCAGCCAACACAAAGACGCAACAGCTATGTATGTGTGTATGTATGTATGTATGTATGTATGTATGTAAGTATGTATGTATGTATGTATGTATGTATGTATGTATGTATGTATGTATATATGTATGTATGTATGTATGTATGTTAAAACCAAATCGTGATGAATGACACCAAACAGTCAAACATCTGATTAAAAAGGTTAACACTTTAATGTATCGTTAGTCTCACACGTCGGCGTTTAAATTAATATTTTCCGACACACAAACACGCAGAAATCGCTGCAACAAACACGAGATGTGGTTTATTGCAAAAAGGAACTCTCTGTTGTCACCTGACCGAACACCAATCATTTTACACAATGTTTTAATAAATTTTGAAGTATTCGGGTCCATGGGTCCAAGGAGCTCGATACATATAGGCAAAAAATCTAAGGAAGGCAGGGCGTGTATGTATGTATGTATGTATGTATGTATGTATGTATGTATGTATGTATGTATGTATGTATGTATGTGTGTATGTATGTGTGTATGTATGTATGTACGTATGTGTGTATGTGGGATTTATGTGATTGATTGAAGGTACTTACCGATATCGTTGAATTAAGGTTTTACCAGGATTGGATTGACGGATCGGAAAATACCAGTACATTGTAATTTTTGAATACATCGGAAACATTTCTTTATCGATACCTTGGAATTGAAAATTTTCAAATTCCCATTCCCGTAACCGATCATGTCTTATTTATTTTCATAAAAAGTAGCAATCATAACACGAAAAACACAAATTTATAAACAATAACAAACAGCAACAAAACACAAATAACAAAACAACAACAACAACAAAGCAACACAAAACAGAAACAGGCAACAAAATATAGCAAAATAAAATACAACAGCAACAAACTACAAACAACAAAACACCATAAACAACCCCAACAACAGTGACAACAAAACAAGAATCAGAAATCTTTCAGACTGCCTCTACATGGTTGACCGCGAAAACGACAATTTAAATTCAAACCAGCCAATCAGGGCCCGTATTTGTGGCAGACCTGACAAATCAAACAACGAGTTTGTTTACACATCTTCGACGCGACACTTGGAAATTAATTTGAGAACTTTTGAAAAAAAATATTCAAAGGACGCTCAGAGATTTGCTGGCAGATTTGAATTTTTAAACGCAAGTCAGATACCAACAACAACAATGTCAACAGCGACCACACCAGCCACAACATCAGTTGCTTCTGTCACAACGATGCTTTCCAATAATAGAAACATGATTGAGTCAGGATATCAGCATTTCAACACGTTGCCCAACCGAGATCAGAGTGCATGGAGACCTGGATTGCATGGTGAGCCTTTTGTGCCATCTTTACTTGCTTCAAATTTTATTCTTTTTTTTTTTTTTTTTATTCATAATTTAACGGCATTGCAGCTCCCATAATGGTGCTATGTTTTGCCATATTTAAGTCATGATTGAATATATATACATACTTAAATACATATATTTTTTATATATATTTTAAACTTTTATTTTTCTATTTTATTTGTTTATTACTATTTCAATACATTCAATTTGCATCAATTTATTTTGCTTATTTTGAATTCTTAGTTATACATCCAAAGAGCCATCTATTACAGAGCAGGGAAATCTAAACAAACCACATTGAAGCACTAAGACGGGGAAAAAAATTTAAAAAAAATAAAAAATAAATAAAAAAAAATAAATAAAAAAAAAATTAAAAAAAAAAAATAAAAAAAAAAATTTTTTTTTCATACTGATTTACTATTCAAGCAATTTATATTTATATTTATAGCAAATGTATATTGACATCATCTAGACCGGCGTATCGTATCGTGATCCACTAATGCCATAAATAAACACATTCAATGCGGAGGGCATCTGCACCGACCGCCAGTGCCGCCAATCAAAGTCCCACCCCCTATGCACGCATCTGAGATTCTGATTGTTAAAAAAAAAAAAAAAAAAAAAGGGGTTTTCTTTCGGAAATTGAGCTTCCACCATGATGCCGACCCCCAGTAGACACTCGACATGACCTTGAGAGTTTTCAAGCCTTACCCCCTTCCTGTTGGCAATTGAGCCTCTACCCCGGGGTTCACCCGCAGCAGACGCTCGACATGCCCTTGAGAGTTCTCAAAACTTACCCTATTCCTCTTACAATTGAGCCTCTACCATGAGGTTCGCTCATGACAGACGCTCGACATGCTCTTGAGGGTTCTCATGCCTTATTCCCCTTCCTCTTTGGCGATTGAGCCTTCACCATGAATCTCGCCACAGCGAACACTCGACATACCCTTGAGGATTCTCAATTCTAATCTCAATTTGCTTTGCTCTCCGGCTTTCGGGCCTCCACCAAGAGGTCCACCCATAGCAGTCGCTCAGTGTTCTCATATGAATGTTTTTATGCATATCTCTACATATTATTATAGACATATTCGTTAGTGCATTCTTGATTTATTTATTTGAATCTCAGACCGAATACACAGGGGGCGAGCCGTCAATCAACGGCACCGGACCGGACCGCCGATGCAGACTTCACCCCGCACGTCAGTGCTATTGGTAGCATACCCGATTACATCTAAACCATTTAAACTGCATCTCCGCCGACCAGCACGATGCCCATACACTGTAACACTTTTCTGCATGAAAATCAACGGTCTATGCAATATAATTCTACCTGACATGCTAAAATGTCTTTACGTAGACGACTTCATGATTGCATATAAAAACAAAAATATAGAAAATATTGAAAGTACATTAAATAAATTATTAAATAAAATTAGTACATGGTCAATAGAAAACGGAATTTTATTTTCTGAATCAAAAACTGTAGCTATATTATTCACAAAAAAAAGAAAAACAAAGTTTCCAAAATTAACAATAGACAAAACACCCATAAAATTTGAAAACAAAATAAAATTCTTAGGTTTAGTTTTTGATCATAAGTTCAATTTCTTACCTCATATACAGTATGTCAAATCTAAATGTCTCAAATCTTTAAATATAATTAAGGCACTTTCTCACTATAAATGGGGTGCAAATAGCGAAAAGTTATTAATAGTATATCGAGTTAAAGTTAGACCAATAATATAATATGGACTTCAAATTTATGGATCAGCTAGAGAATCCTACTTAAAATCACTATTACCAATAATAAACGAATCATTGAGATTATGTCTAGGTGCCTATAAGACTTCACTATCAACAAGTCTTCATGTCTTAGCAAATGAGATACCACTGCACCTAAGATATATTAAAATCTCCCTCAATTATTACTTAAAACAATATCCAACCCAGATAATTCGTCATTCAAATATATTACATCTAAAAATTCTATAAACAAATTCTCTAAAAAACCCAAGACAATAACTCCGTTTTATTTACACATTGAAAAACATATCAAGGCTATTAAATATAGAAACATTTTGAAGAACCCTGACATATCTATCCCCTCTTGGAAAATAAATGAACCTATGATAAACTTATATTTAACAAAATACAAAAAAAATGAAGAGCAGCACATAATTCAATCAATAATTAAAGAACATGTTTACCATAATACAGGAAGCACAATAATTTATACTGATGGATCTAAAATGAATGAATCCACAACGGCAGCAGCTATTATAGGCGAAACAGAGATTTCAGCGCACTTACCAGATGACACAAGCATTTATACTGCTGAGCTCCAGGCAATCAACATGGCCTTAGATCATATTAAAAATGCATTTAATGAAACAATTATCATAATAACAGATTCTCTGTCGAGTGTTCAAGCTTTAAAACAATATAAAAATAATAATAACTTAGTTAAACTTATAAAAATTAAAATACATAAAATCGTTCAAAATGATTGCCGTATTGAGATAATATGGGTGCCAAGCCACATAGGGATTGATGGCAACGAAAAAGCAGATAAATTAGCTCTAGCAGCACATCAAAAACCAACGCTGAATAATGATATGCTTTATACAGACATAAAAACAATAATAAATAAATACATTTACACACTGTGGCAAAATGAATGGAGTTATTCGAAGACGCAATTAAAGCAAATAATCCCCCTTATTGATCAAAAAAGAATAAAATTATCTAATAATAGGTTTATGATATCCAAAATAAATAGATTAATGATAGGCCACACAATGTTAACCCATAGTTATATACTTAATAAAACTGAACAACCAACATGTCAATACTGCAATAGCAATTTAACAATACAACATATAATAGCATGCGAAAATTCAGTTACTCATAAATATCATAAATTGATTCCTAAAACACTTCATGCAAACTTTGAAACAAAAGAAGATATAGTTAAATTAATAAAATTTCTGAAAGACATATGCATATATGATGCGATTTAAAATATGGAACAAAACTAAGTTAATTTAACCAATAGATTGAAAATATAAACTTTGACATAACATAAATAAATTAATAAAGTAGATCTAAGTGCCACTCTACGGGGTTGGTGAAATTTGATCGGGCTATAGAGTCGCATTGATGCGGGGAAGAGAGCCAAATTTTATTCAATGCAAATTTTAAAAAATTTTGGTTTCAATTGAGTTTTTAGTCAAAATAAATTTGAAAGGTATGTTTTTAAATTTTTCTTTTCGTTGTAATTTTGTAAATGTTTTTTGAAACATTGGCTGATTAACCTTACTGCCGCATGTAGGAACCCATAATTTGCTGTCTCAATTTTATGACACTTTATAAAAAAATTTCCATAAAAGCATTATTTTCAAATACATTTTTATTTAATTAATTTTTAAAAATTTACCAAATGCATTGTTTAAAAGTCTAGAACAAAAAAAAAGGTTACATCAAAACTCTATGATGGGCTCTTCATCATCATCATCACATCACATGACATCACAGTCAAATGATTGAATTCAAGCCACATCATCAACACACGCTAGTTTCTAAATATTTTGCGCATCCATCTTCATTCCAATAACATCGAGCAAATTAATTTACCAGCGAAACCATTTTAGATTTCAGATTGACCAAAAATTAAATTTCTTAAACTGTCTTTTTTGCATAAATTAAATAGAGATCATCGATCTTTTGCTAGAAAGTTTAAAACGAATCAGATCCACAACTTTGCGAATCAACTAATGCAACAAGTTCCGATGACTAACGAATAACGTGACTTTGTAATCATCCTACAGATGACGTAGACAATCGCCTTTCATCCGTTCCTACTTTGTCATCGTCTTCATCTTCGTCTTCATCCCTGCACTCAGTTAGAGAGGCCTCTAAATTAGAAGATGACGTCAGCAAACCAGTTGAAGAATACGGTGAGTGAGTACATTCTTATGAAAGAAAATTAAATCAATTGTTAAATAAATAGAAAAAAAATTGAAAAGAATAAATTTTGGAAAAGTCTTATTAAATAAAAAAATATGACAACAATACCTAATTAACTTTACAAAAAATTTCATTCTCATGCAAATTTTACAAAATTTTAATCGCATGCAAAAAATTAATATAAACAAATTAATTAATTAAATTCACATTCAGTAAATTTTTTTCTATGTTATACATCTCTGACAAATGCAGAGCTGCTATCATAACGTACAATTAAATTTTTTGCACTCTCCATCCTACCGGGGTATGTGAGGGCCGTCCATCTTCCGACCGACTGCATTCAAACCAGGCCAGGCTGGGACATGATTCTCACATCGTTTCAACTAACCCAACAAACTTTTCATTTTTTAATTGTAGTTTTCATAGCATTGCTGACAATTTAATTGTTGTTGGATTGGCACCACTTGTTACAGAAGGTCACACATATCAAATGGACGAAACCAAACTTCTAAACATAAATAAATTTTTTATAAAAATAGGAACATTACAGTTAGGCATAAAAAAAGATTATGTAAAATAAATTTTTAAAATCAAAATTATATAAAATCTATTTGACCACCATAATTATTCCGCTTCTTTCAAACCAATTTTCAAACTATTAAACTTTATAAAACTCAATTAAAAGTTAAAACTCATAAAAACAGTCGGCAAGTATAAATCTGCCAGCTCTCGTGTTTTTTGTAATAATAATGATAATAAATAATTAGCCTTGTCATCATCATCATTACGACAATCATCATCATCACCTCTGCAGATCAGTCACCTTGCCATGTCAAAGTTTTCAGCAATGATGTACGAGCTTCAAGTGGTTCATTCACGTTTCCCTACCAACAAACAAACCAACCGAAACAAACTCAGAAACATCACCAACATCAATTTCAACAACACCAACTAAAACTTCAACAACAACAAATTCGGCAGCAGCAATTTCAACAGCACGACCAAAAGCAACCAAATATCAACTACGAAGCTAATCAACAACAGCATCCAAACTCACAACTGCTGCAACATCAGCAACAACTACTGCATTATCAATATTATCAGCATCCCTCCCGAAAACAACAACTTTCACGAAATCCAAACGAGAGCTCGTTCCATGCTCCACTTAATATCTCATCTGCAAAAACAATCCCGCATTGCAAATATACATTCTACAGTCAGCCACATCAAAGGGTTGTTGTCACGTTTGATGAAGTGAGCATACAGCTTTTGCAACAACCACAGCAGCATCGTCAGCAACTTAATGAAAATCATCACTTAATTAAGTATGTATGAAAACATTTGCATATTAAAATCAGTTTGAAGCCCATCTTCAATGAACATGGTCTCAATATATTCAAGCCATGATGAATATTCAAACATTTATGAAACTGACCAATTTATACAAACATCTCTAAGCCGAAACAAGCTTTATGAAAACTTTATCTTTTGTGATCCGCTTATTGCAAAAAATTTATAATTAATTTTTTTAACAGTTGGTTTTCTTTGTTCATTATGTCAGACAAAAAGTGTTTATATTTTCCATATAGGAAATTTAACTACAGCAAGCATATTAGCGAGAATTCCTGCTGAACATGAAGTTCCCAGTAGTAGCAGTAGTAGTAGAAATTTTTCAGAGAGCATGCTAGCACAGCTGAGTCAAAGATTAATTGTTGTTCATCCAACAATCAATACCTGCTTTGAAACTCTTTACTGTTTGCACTTCGACAAATACTTTTGGCAATGAATTTCATGTGTTGGCCACTCTATTGATTTGTTGTCTAGTTATCTTTTTGTAATATTTCAAGCAGTGACTACGTGTCCTAGTTTCGATATTGTTAAATCAATTTACTAAATCAATTTTGTCTATTTTTTGTAGGCTTTTATATATTTAAATCAATTCTCCCTATTTTCTTTTATTCGCCAAAGTTTTTAGTCCCAATCTTTAAAGACGATCGTTGTAAGTGAAATTTCTTATCGATAGAACTAATTTTGTAGCTCTGTGCTAGACTTTTTCAATCATTTCAATATCACTTTTAAAATAAAAGGGACCAAACTGATACTTGAATGCCGTGTCTAAACCAAATGACTCGATTTTTCCATTTCAGATAAGTCAAGCAACCACTCCAAGATTTTTCTCAGAATTAGACTCGACAGGAAGTTTTTCATTTAGATACCGAGGGTTTTTTTTATTAACTAATCCGTTATGCATTACCAAACACTTTTTGGTCCATTTAAATGCCGTGTCTAAATCAATTTGAAGATCAACTACCTCCTTTATTGCAGACACAGCATTCATGATTTTGGTACCATTTGCAAACAGTTTTGTTTTGTGTTTCAAATGAGTTGGTAGATTGTTGATATATAAAATTAATAGCAAGGAATCTATAACAAAGCCTTGAAGAACACGGTCTGGTTTATAAACATTCGAGAATAAATTGCATTACATTTTCACATCTATTCATTTACGCCTAGCATATAATTATTATTTTATAAGATGCCTTTTTTAATAAGAAAAAATTTCTCAATATTTTAAAAAAGAAAAAATCTTTTTCAAACTTTTCTCATTCAAATTTATGTTTAAAGTTCATAGTAAATTATTACATCAAATTATTTTAATTTTTTTTCAAACTCCATGTCTTAATTATAAAAACTTAAGGCAATTAAAAAATTATCAACAACCGTATTTCAGACTGTTGATATTAAAATCACCGATTTTTCTTTGAGGGTTTCCTTGTGGAATATTTTACCCGTAAAATTCAAATTGTTCAATAAGTTAAATCTGTTCACTAAACGCATGAAATTTTCAATATTAGAAATCCAATAATAATATAGAAGAACTATTGAGTAATTATTCTTAAATTTTTGTTTGTATATATTTAAAAATATATTCTTAAACTATTTTTGGAACCTCATGTTATATATGTGTGCATATATGTGTGTATTAATTTTCATATGGTGGATTGTAAAGTTCATTTAAGTATGTTTATCTTTCATGTGATTCTTTATAGCGCCAGTTGGTACGTGCATCGTGAGTCTTCTCGACAGCTTTGTCGTCGTCAAATGTTATATTAGTGAGTGTGGGCACCATAATTCTGAATGTTCGATTGACTAAATAATACTCTATCCATAATATCGATTTTTCATGTACTTTGCATTTATTTAATTTGAATAGTAGTCTAGTGGGCGACACTTTATCAAAGGCCTTTTCAAGGTCAGTTAACGGCATCACCATTTTTTATAGCTTGTGTAATCTCATCCATAAATTTAAGCAGCCGCAGAGTTGTTGATCGAAATGAAAAAAATCCATATTGTCTATGAGAAAATAAATTATTTTTGACGAAGTGATTTTTTATTTTTTCAGTCATAATCGATTTCATAATTTTACAAGACGTTGATATCAAGGTCACTGGTCTATAATTGGTGGCAGAGCTTCTACTACCTTTTTTATATATATAGGGACTACTTAGCTTAATTTCTAGTCATCGAGAATTATTCCTGTATTTAATAATTGTAGAAAAACTTGACAAAAATACTTGTGTAGTAGATAATTGTCTTGTCTCCCACAACGCTCGAGGGCCAGGTGATTTATTGCGGTTCAGACCATAAAGTTTTTTGAGTACCATGCTTTCATCTATTTTCTCTTCTTCCATCGCACCCTCTGGTAGCACCGGATTGAAAAAATTGTCATCATCCACGAAATTAGAATCTTCCTTATAGACCGATGCAAAATATATTACCAAAATGCATGTTTTTTCTCTGTCATCAACAATCTCAACATTGTTATGAATTAAAAGGTTGACTTTATTTCTAGAATGAGTAACGTTGTTTACATGTTTCCAAAACAATTTTGGGTTTATTTTGAATTTTCTGGCTATTTCGTTTTGCTTCTCTCTTTTTAATAATCTGGTTAATTTTCATACGTTCTCTCTTGCTTGACGTTAAAACATCAATTCGTTTTTTCCATGCGTGTATGTTCTTCCCCAGTAATAAAGTTTGAGTTTAATGAGCCTGTGCAACTCAGGGGTCATTTTAAAAGTGAAATACCTTCCTGTGTTTTTGAAAGGAACAAATCAATCAATGACAGCCAACATGGTTTTATGAAAGGATGATCCTGTCTACCTAATCTATTGGATTTTTTTGAAGATATTTATGTTAACCTAGAGCAGGATAACTCGGTAGACGTAATATATTTAGATTTTGCAAAAGCATTTGATAAGGTGCCACATAAAAGGTTATCCAAAAAATTACAGGCATGTGTGATAGAAGGAAATCTGCTACAATGGATAAAAAATTGGTTGAAAGATAGGAGACAACAGGTGCGGATAAAAGGAATAAACTCGATGTGGATAGACGTAACAAGTGGCGTGCCTCAGGGATCGGTATTGGGACCGCTATTATTTGAGATATACATTAACGACATCGACGAAGGAATAGTCTCTAAGATTTCAAAGTTTGCAGATGATACCAAATTATGTGCGAAAGTCAACAACGATGAAGATGCGGAAATATTGCAAAAAGACCTTGCAAGACTGTACCAAAGGTCCAAGGACTGGCAAATGCTTTTCAACGTTGACAAATGTGCAGTCGTGCACCTAGGAAGGAAGAACGCTAGATGTGAATAAAAAATTAGTGAAAGAGAACTACGATCGACAGAGGAAGAAAAGGATCTAGGAATCATTGTTCATCAAAGTGCAAAACCGTCAAGACAATGCACAGTTGCAGCGGCCAAAGCCAATACGATCTTAGGATTTATAAGAAGAACAATGGTCAGCAGAGAGAAGCATATCATACTGAAACTGTACAAAACCCTAGTCAGACCTCATCTGGAGTACTGTGTTCAAGCATGGAGCCCATATATGCAAAAAGATAAGGAAGTTTTAGAAAAAGTACAACGTAGAGCCTCAGGAATTATTAGAAGAATCGAAAAAATGGAATACGATGAGAGATTGAAAAAATGCGACTTAACATCATTAGAAAAAAAAAGATGCAGAGGAGATCTAATCCAAACGTACAAATTGATCACGAACAGAGAAACAACACCATACTCGAGATTTTTCAGGCTAGTAAACATTGATAAACTACGAGGACACAGATTTAAGATTTTCAAAAACTCGGATGGAAAAATAAAGAGCAGTAGAGTGGTCAACGCCTGGAACGAGCTAAGCGATGATGCAGTCTCTGTGAATTCACTCAACAGCTTCAAAGCCAAACTCGGACAGATAGGATATTAGGAGATCTAATTAGTAGTGGTTCTTACACAGACTACAATTTTCTGAACCACTTTAAACCCCGTTAATAATAATAATAATAAATTTGTGTTAAATCATTTATGATTTTGCAAAACATATTCCAGCTTTCCTCAACTGTTGAGTTTTGTTTTTTTTGTCAGCAGTTGTAGAAACATCATGGAAAAGCATCTTTTGAAATTTGCGTAATCACCACTTTGAAACAAAAATTTCAAATTAACTGGAGGTTGATTCAATCCGAAACTACAAAATTCTGTGACGATGACTAAATAATCACATTTTCCCAGCGGGCAAAGTGGCTGATATTTTCCCCAAAGTTACAATCTGTGATGAAAACTTTGTGATTAAAGCAATCTATCTAATAATTTGTCGATCGCATACGTCATCATCGCATCATGTCTATATTGCAGTTGTTTATATTGCAGTTGTTTATATTGCAGTTGTTTATATTGCAGTTGTTTACACAACTCTGACAGAACTTGTCTGAGTAACATCTCTAAATCAACCTGAGATTACCTACTGATCTTCATTTTCATCATTTTCTTAGAACACATCCTCATTACATCCTCCATTCAACAATTAACAATTATTATTCATTGCGTGCAAATTATCATTATGGCTCACCACCACGTGTTCATCGAATATATCAACATCTTCATCATTATAAATGGCTTTCCTCTTTAGTCTGTTATCTTCAACGTCATCTGTGTCATCAAACAACTTCATCACCTATACAACATCAGCAGCATCGTTAGCATTTGTTATCCACACAACAATAGCATCATCATCGTTATTATGACTGTTATTATCATTATTGACTTCGTAATCACTGTCATCATTCTCGTACATTCTCGTAATATTTCCATCATCATCATCATCACCCAAATGAATGCAGTGATGACGCCATTAAAGACACGATGATGTTGTACGATGACCTGATAACAGTTTACTCATCGGTCAAAGGTCAATTGAGCAGAATTCAGGGACTATCGTCATTATCATTATCGTCATCATCATCATCACCAACATCGTCATCATCACTCTCATCGTCGCCATCTACATCACATTTGGCTGCATTGTTTACATCACCACCACCACTCCAATCGTCATCAGTACCACCATCTTCAACCTCATCATCATTGTCATCACCCCCTTCATCAACGATTTATTCATCACTTTCTTCACTTTCATCCGCGAATTTACGGACGAATCCCTCACCTCCATCATTCAAATCACCTCTAACATCATCATCGTCATCGTCAACTTTATCGTCACTAACGTTATTATCGCCGACAACAACAACAACGACAACAACAAGCAGACCACCAGCACTAACATCAAAAACATCCTCCTCGTCAAAAAACAATTTGTTTCATCATTTTCTGCCAACATCGTCATTGTCATCATCATCACAATCATCATCATCATCATCGCCTTTTTATATCTCGTCGTCATCTTCGGCGTCATCATTATTATCATCGTTGACGATGTCACCACCATCATCATCACCACCAACAATACCAGCATCACCGTCGTCGTCGTCGTCATCACCACAAAAAGTGTACAGCTATATGAGTGGACCGGACGGTGTGATAGAAATACATGTGGTGCTTACTCGACCTTTGCGATATGAACAACAGCCACAACAACCACAACAACCACAGTCACAACAACCACAGCCACAGCCACAACAACCACAGCCACAACAACCACAGCCACAACAACCACAGCCACAACAACCACAGTTGCAACAACTACAGCTACAACAACATCAGTATCATCAACTACAACACCATCATCATTACATTTATCGACAACACGATGAGACTGAACCACAATCAAAATTATTTTTACCGCCTTCGCAAGGGCACCAACATCCAAACCAACAACAACATCAACAACAACAACAACAATATCAACGACAACAATATCAGCAGCAACAACAACAGCAGCAGCAACAACAACATCAGCAATTACAACAACAATTTTACAGCATCAATTTCAAGGGACAATTTCATTTTGTTACCGGTCAGTTTCAATTATGATTTTTAATTTTTTAATTATTTCAAAATTATTTTACGACCTTCAATTTTTGTGTCTGCAGCTTGCTATCTTCATCGTTCATTCTCTCAACATTTCTTTTCTATTTTTTTACCAAGTGCTTTTATTTGCCAGCATTTTGTTACATCAATATTTATTGGATATTCCGAATGTGGATACGCCGCACCAAACATACACACGTCCACACTCGCTCACATAACAAGCTTGCATACACACTTACTTTTTTTTTTCTTCCTCTCTTTTTCTGTCTCTTTCTCTCTCCCTCTCTCTCTCTCTCTCTCTCTCTCTTTCTCACACGCACACGCACACACACACACACGTACCATATACGTAACGACCTGAATTTGTAATGAGACATTTATAACATTTAACAAACAACTGAAACTACACAAAGGTAACAAACAATGATTATTAAAAAATTCTTATGTATTCTTTTCGGTTGCTTTCTTCTTGTCGTCGTTGATCCTATGTCGTTGGTATGAATTAAGTATACTAAAGCAACGTGTTGTTGTTGCATTTGCACATTTTTGGTTAGTTGTTTTCTAGTCTGTTCACTAACATTTTTCAGTCTGTTTACTACCACTACCATTTTGCCGCCTCTAATTGGCGCTCGCAGATTTCACCAAGTTGTTATCCAAGACCATACACTTCCTTCTCACGTGCTTCAGGACCTGACATTCAAGCCATAGGTGTGTGACTGATTCATTTCCTCTTCATACAATTTACATTGGTCTCATTCGTAAGAACAATGCGAGTTCTGTAGTCACAGAGTGCTAGGTGGCTAGATGGGTGGTCAGTTCTAAAGCAACTCAGATCCGCTTTTGTTCGTTTGTTCAGCTTTCTTAGCAATTTTCAAAAGTTTTACTGCACAGATTTCTGCATCTTTCATGCTGGGTAGGTTGTATTGGTTTTGTAATGTTTCCAGCTTCTTTGTTGCACAACTGGAAACCATGTGGCCTTGAAAGGGAACAAAATGCTAAAGGATCAAAAAAAATTTCCTCGCGTGGTTGTTGCTGCAAGTCTCAAGCCACAAACACATATCACTACATTTCGCAATGGATTTAAATTTAATGAAACTTTTGCTTTTCCCTCACCTCCCAATCATTCAACTTCGTTGTTCAATCTCAAGTTTATAGAACTCGCGTCGCAACATTTACAAATGTTTCATTCCCATTAAAATAACCTTTCCTGGCGTTAAAATGTAACTTATTGCATCTCTCCCTCCCCATAACATGCACAGATTACGCAGCAAAGTGGGGACAACAAAATGCTCCATCAGGTTTTTATTGTGCTGTTGTTTGTGGTTTGCTTGTATTGCTGTGTATGTTGCTGTTGTTTGTGTTGTTATGTTGTTGTTTATATAATGTTGTTGTTGTTGATGCTATATTGTTGTCACTGTGGTGGTAGGTTGGTTGTCTTGTATAAATTGCGTTCTGTTGTTTTTTTTGTCAAGTCGTATGTCAGGTTATTATTAATATCTCATTTTTTATTCTGTTAATTGTTCTTGTCGATGGAACAAATACTCATAAGTCTTTATACTTAAAAGCGTCGATAGATAAGATGATGAGGAATAAATAGATGTTAAAATTTTAAATACCAGAATGTTCCTTCAGCTTCTATAGCAACAGTAGCAGCACGGACGGACAATTTTCAACACCAAATTATCCGGGTTTGTATCCGCGCGCAACGGAATGTGAGTTTTTATTCTTCGGTCGGAGCAATGAAAGAGTAGAAATTGATTTTCTGCACTTCAATGTTGAAGGAATCGCGCCTGGGTTTGTTTACATTTTATCTCTTTACATTACATTTTGTTTAATTACATGACATTACATGACATTTCGGTTACAATTGATTTAAAGAAGTTTTGTTTAAATTTCATAACTTTACATGACATTTTGTTAACATTTCCTTACATTACATTTTGTTAAACTTCATAAAGTTAAATCCCGTTTTATATGAACATATATAAACACACATACACACACACACACATATATATATATATATATATATATATATATATATATATTGAGTCTGTGTATGTGTGTGTGTGTGTGTGTGAGTCTGTTATTGAGTCTGTATATATATATATATATACAGTCTATTACCAATATATATATATATATATATATATATATATACATATATATATATATATATATATATATATATATATATATATATATATATATATATATATATATATG